CTCTCTCTGTCTCAAAAATAAATGTTAAAAAAAAAATTAAAAAAGAAAAAAAAAAGAATCTCAACACTGTGAGGTTATTTCAAACAGCAAACTTTTTTTTAACTCTTCTCTCTTACAATTTCAAGTTAAAAAAAAAAACAACCCAAAACAATAAAAAAATATATAAAATAATAGGAAAGTGAGCCATTACTTAGGAAAAATAAAGCACTCTAATTATAGGTCAGAGCCACTTGCAATAGCTGTGTAATATGTATTCGTGTGACTTCTCTTTTTTTAAAATTCCCTTTCAGATACTGTGGAGATGAGCTTCCAGAAGACATCATTAGCACAGGTAATGGCTCTAAAGTGAGGTGTAAGACTATGGTTTGTTTTCCCATAGTGTCACAGAAAATTAAGAACTCAGTAGTTACTACTATTTTCTTTTTAAAGTTGAGAGGACAATTGGGACAGATGTAGCCTGCTAGCTTGTAAAATGCAGAGTTTGTCTCTTCTTAAAGCCTTATGCCACCTTACACTAAAAATGTGTAGACTCGTTATGTGGAGGAATGCAGTCTGAGATAGTCTCGAATCTGCAAATCCCTGAAAACTGCTGTAGGTTATGATTTCCATAAAATGAGGTAATACACCAAAATGTTTCATCAATAAAGGATTGAAAAGTATTCTCAAAAGCATTAAAGCTGTTAAAAATACCTTCTGTCAAAAAAAAACCACCTTCTGTCACTGAAAAAAATTTTGTATCATACTAACTGCATTTTTATCTTAGTACAGTGTTGTAAAGAACACAGTTCTAGGAGATATTTTTAATAGGTGTTGCATGAGAAAAGAACTCTAAGGTCAAGTAAATTTGGGAAACATTGGGTTAAACCAATGTGAAACAAATCTCTTTAATGGAAGATGTCAGAGAGCTTTTAATATGCTAATTATGCAAAGTAAATGTCAAAAGGCGAGCTATGGTAGGCAATGTGTTCCAAATCTTTTTAACTCCTGCAAATTATTTGTGACTTTGTTCCAAGCAATATACCTCAAGTATAGTCGTATATATTTAGTTCAATAAGCAATTCCACTGCCATTGACCCAAATTGCTATTTTCTGGCTGAAAACCTTTAGTTTCTTAGATATTTTTATTTTTTTCTTGTTATTTCCATCCCCAGCACTAGTAGTTGGCATTCTTACTTGTTCTATTTTTCCTCCAAGTTATAAAATTATCACAATGTTTCTGCAACTAAAAACAACAAAATACACTGAATTACAATTTCTAAGTAGTCCTTAAGCTCAGACACCACTAGCTCAATTACTCCCACACCCTAGCCTTGAGGTGCATGAAATTCTCATTTATGCGTCATTATTACAAAAGATGGAATTTCTTATTCAATTCTTGAATGATTAATACTTAAATGTTATTCATTCATTCTCTACGTTACAATTTCCCTGGTCAGGGCAAACTATTAAACTATTTGTCTCATTCTTTTCTTGAGGTCATATTTTACGTTAACAGAAAGTTAAAAGAAGACATGAGCTGTAGGAGGTAGTTGGGAGAGGAGAATCCTATTCTTAAAAAAGAAAAAAAAAAACTAAACAGGGAGAGTCAAATGCCTGAAACTTGACATTTTTCTTGTTTTGTCTAAAACAGACTAAACTTACTGCAAATGTAAACAAAACAGTATTTTTCTAGCATAACTGCAAGAAACTGAAAACAACACACAATTTATGATTCAGAGAGAAACAAATGAATGCACAGAGAGAACAGTGAAACAAAACAGCCAAAGATTTAGCAAAACAGCAAGAGCAGGATATTGATACCAAATAACAGAAAAACATTTAAAATACATTTGAAGTATAATCCTGTCAGTCAAGTATAATGCTGTTAACATTTGATCTAGTTTTCTGTATTTAAAAAAAATTTTTTTTAATGTTCATTTATTTTTGAGACAGAGTTTGGGGGCGGGGGGGCAGAGAGAGAGGGAGACACAAAATGTGAAGCAGGCTCTAGGTTCTGAGCTGTCCAGCACAGAGCCCAATGCAGGGTTCAAACTCACAAACCATGAGATCATGACCTGAACCGAAGTCAGAGGCTTAACTGACTGAACCACTCAGGTGCCCCTGACTTGGTTTTCTTCTTAAATATATCCTTGTTCACTCCAGAATATTAATATTAAAAAACAAAAACAGAAAATGAATGAACTAAGAACTAGCCGTAAACTATATCACTTTAATAAAAGGTATATAAAGTAAGAGTATACCCACTCTCCTCGTCTGTCCCCACCCAAAAAAGACATTAGCCATTCTTCCAGGTGTTTTCCTGTATTAAATAAACATTATATACACACACACCATGGAAGTATTTCCAAGTCACCATATAATATGTAGATCATTCAAATTCATTTTAATAATTGCCTAGTATGTCACTGTATGGATGTGCCATACATAATTTGTCATGTACCAATATTTAACATCCTACAGATGGTTGTTTCTTTTTTTTTTTTTTTCCTTTCACTAACGTTTCACTGTATATTTTTAAACCTCTACTTTGTGGTGCTGGGGTTTTTTTGTTTGTTTGTTTTTTTGGTTTTTTTGCTTTTTTTATTTTTATTTTTATTTCTTTCTTTTTTTTTTAACATTTATTTATTTTTGAGACAGAGAGAGACAGAGCATGAACGGGGGAGGGGCAGAGAGAGAGGGAGACACAGAATCGGAAGCAGGCTCCAGGCTCTGAGCCATCAGCCCAGAGCCCGACGCGGGGCTCGAACTCGTGGACCGCGAGATCGTGACCTGAGCCGAAGTCGGACGCTCAACCGACTGAGCCACCCAGGCGCCCCTTTTTGCTTTTTTTTTAAAGAGATTCCTAGAAGTGAAAATTTGGGGTCACAAGTGATTCCATTTTAAATGTTGATAGACGTTGCCAAGCTGGCACTAGGCCTACAGTTGCCAATTTGTATATCAACTAGTTGAGTAATCTGTAAAATGTGTTCTCTTTGTTTGTTTTTAGTTTAGGCAACTCTTCCAAGTCTGAGAAAAGTGTAGTGGATCAGAGCATGAACTGACCAGGGCAGAGACTGCCTGGGCTCAAACCCGGTTGTGCCACATTAGCTTTGTTGTAGCTTTGGACAACTCAAGCTCTCTATGCCTCAATTTCACCTGTAACATAAAAATTTTAATATCCACCTCATGATGTGGTGGGGAATAAATGAATTAATAGATGGAACACACTTAAAGTTGTGCTTGGCAAACAATTAAATTTATGTGGGTTTTTTTGGAATGAATTCTGGATTTGTGATGTGGATGAAGAAGGCCTTTACCTCCCCAAAAAGAAAAATATACCTATATTTTACTTTATATAATAAATTTTCCCTTTTAGCACATTTTGGTCTTTAATGCAGGCAAAATGTATTTAGGTATTCTGTGTAAAGTAGGGAGTTAGTGTTGTGGCTTTGTTTCTTACAATGGAAAGCTTGTTGCCCTGATATCACTTATAAATAATCCATCCATACCTCACTGGTTTAAACTGCCTGCCACTCTCCTGTAATTCAGTGGATGTTCCTTCTATAAAGAATACTTTTGGAGCGCCTGGGTGGCTCAGTCGGTTAAGCTGTCCGAGATCTCGCACTCTGTGAGTTCCAGCCCTGCGTCAGGCCCTGTGCTGGCAGCTCAGAGCCTGGAGCCTGCTTCGGATTCTATGTCTCCCTCTCTCTCTGCCCCTCCCCCGCTCATGCTGTGTCTCTCTCACTCTCAAAAATGAATAAATATTTTAAAAAATTAAAAACAAAAAGAATACTTTTTAAAACAGAATAGGCAAGATTTCCTGTAGGACAGATTGAAGGGCCAGAGGAGGAAATAGAGAAGTCTCCCACTCTGCTGTACTTGACAATGGAAGGAAGCACAGATTCCACGTCTTCAGAATCCAGCTCTGAATCCTGGGAGTCTGGTTCATGAATTTTTATGTTCTGCTATAAGAATGATGAGTCTTTGGACTGTCAGCCAAATCAAAGTAGAGTAACATCTTTGTTCTTTTGCACTCCCCTGTCTCACCAGGAAATGTCATGACCTTGAAGTTTCTAAGTGACGCTTCAGTGACAGCGGGAGGTTTCCAAATCAAGTATGCTGCTGTGGATCCTCTATCCAAATCCAGTCAAGGAAAAAACACAAGTACTGCTTCTACTGGAAATAAAAACTTTTTAGCTGGGAGATTTAGCCATTTATAAAACAAATAAGGACACTCAAGTGTTGATGTTTGTATCTTTTGGAACCCCTTTGATCTCACTTTTATATTATTAGTGGTAGCATTTATTTATTATTTTTCTAAATGTGAAAGGCAATAACTGATAATTTGGGGAAAATTGGAAAATACAGAAATTTTAAATGAAAAAATAAAATATTTTATAATCCCACTGCATAAAAATAACAAATATTAACATTTGTATATTTTTCTTTTAGTTATTTTTCAATTTGTGGTATATGTATATATGTATCTATATGTATTTGTATTTGTATTTGAAATTTTGGAATCCTGCTCCATGTACAGTTTTAATATTTTGGTTTTTTTAAACTTGAACTTTATGGCTTAAGCATTTTCCCATATCATTGATTTTTCTGCAATAACATAATTTTGAACAGCTGTAAAATAATCTGTGGTATGATTATTCCATACTTTATTTAAGCCTATCTGCTTTGTGGGAATTTTAAGTTGCTTTCATAAATATTGCTGCAATAAATATCATTGAACATGTGTATTTATACAGCTCTCTAATTATTGGGGATAGGGTCCTAGAGGTAGAATTACTGGCTCAGATATTAATTAAACTAGGATTTTCTTCAAGTCCCTGGCTGGTTCAGTTGGTAGAGCATATGACTCATGATCTTGGGGTTGTGAGTTCGGGCCCCATGCTGAGGGTGGAATTTACTTTAAAAAAATAAAATAAAATAAATGTACAGCTTTAAAAAAATAGAATTTTCTTTTTTATGGGCAAAAGTGACATATCATTATGGTTTCAATTTGCAGTGAGATTGATGGTTGGTTTATATATTTTTGATCAATTTTTTTTTAATTTTTCATGTCTTTCATCCATTGTTTTACTTACACAATCTTTTATTGATTTATAAGAAATCATTACATATCGGATATGTAATTTCACGTCTCTCCTATATGTTGCAATTTAATTTTGTGTGAAGTTTGATTTATATAATGTTTTTTAATGTATTAAAGGTTAAATTTTATTTCCTATCATACTGATATTGCTGCAGTCTCTTGTCTTTATATTTATAATGGATATTCCCATTACAAGTTTATATATTTATTCATTAATATTTTATTTTTGTTGCTTTATGGCTTTGCTGTTTTAGAAGGAAAAAGTCATAGTTGTTACCCTTTATATGAGAGGTAATGGTTACCGTCCAATTAAACTCAGCAGAAATATATGTGCCTGGCATTGTTCTGGACACTTGGGAAACACTCAAGAACCAAATGAACAAAAATTCTCAGGTATGGGGAGCTTATGTTCTGGTGGGAGGAGAGAGACAATAATTAAACATGATAAATTAGTAGGGGTGTTATAATAAATACTCGGTGCCCAGGAAGAGATGAGCCACGTGCACTCAGGAACCAGGATAAAACGTTTATTGCCCACCAGGACCAGCCCAGCGGAGTCACCTCCAAAGGCTGAGCCCTGAACCTTGGCATCAGCCTCCTTTTATGGTTGGGATGGTAAGGGGTTGAGAGACAAAAAAAAGGGGGGGGAGGGGGCACTAATCAGTGGTGCTAGGTGGGCAGTTGGTGGACACAGGAGGAAAGCAAGATTACAGAAGCCAAAAGCATATAAGGGGAGTATCCAGCTTCGGACATCTGGCTGGCCCCTTTTATCTTGTTTTTACTAGCTTTTCTTCTCAGGGGTACCTGGGTGGCTCAGTTGGTTTGGTGTCTGACTCTTGATTTTGGGTCAGTTCATGATCTTTTGGTTCATGACTTGGAGCCCTGGGTTGGGCTCCACACTAACTGTGCTGGGCCTGCTTGGGATTCTCTCTTTCTCCCTCTCTCTGCCCCTCCCATGATCTAGCATGTGAGTGCACTCACGTGCGCATGCTCTCTCTCTCTCTCTCAAAATAAACAAACTTAAACAAAGAACATGGTAAATTAGTAAACTACATGTTAGAAAAAAATTACAGAGTGTTGGGGCACCTGGGTGTCTCAGTCAGTTAAGCGACTGACTCTTGATTTCAGCTCAGGTCATGATCTTGTGGTTCATAGGGTCGAGCCCCATGTCTGGGCTCTGCACTGACAGCACAGAGCCTGCTTGGCACCTCTCTCTCCCTTTCTGTCTGTCCCTCCCCTGCTCCCACTCTCTCTCTGTCTCTCAAAATAAATAAATAAACTTAAAAAAAAAAGATTAGAGAGTGTTGCCTACAAAATTACTAATGATATGCCCCAATTCGAGAGACCCCCTGAAAACAAACCACCAGAGTCCAGAGCCAAAGCCAAGCGGTAAGGGTCGTTTATTGCAGGTTCGAACCCGGTCCTCCGCGCACTCGTTGCCGGTGACGCAAGAGGCCCCGAGCAAGGATCTTACAGCTTCTTTTATAGACAGGCACAAACAAGTTAGGGATTTTTTTGAGGTTACAGAGTTGTTATAGGTTGACATTTAAATTTGAACACTCAGCAGAACTCGATTGGTTCCCGCCTTTATTTCAAACCATTCAGCAGAACTTGATTGGTTGCCGCCTTTATGTCAGACTATGACCTGGCGCGCCCTGGCTGGTTTCGGGAATGGCGGGGGAAGGGAAAGATCTTTTCTTTGCAGTTGTGAGTACACCTGGTAATTTTTCTCTTAGCCTCTCACTAATGGAATGAGTATAGATTTTAAAAAAAGAAAGGCTTAAGAACTGAGCCTTGGAAGAGGAAGATCAGCAGAGAAGACTGAGAAGGAACAAAGGGTGAATTAGAAGGAAAATCCCTTGGGCTCCTAGGAGCCTAGTGAAAAATACATCAAGGAGGAGGGAGTGATCAACTGTATTAAATGTTGCCAGTAGATTTACAAAGATGAGTGCTGAGAATAACCATTGGGTTTAGCAACTTGAAGATTGTTGGTGACCTTGAGGAGCAGTCTGAGCAGGGTGGAGACAAAGGCCCCCTGGGGTGTCCTGTAGAGTGAGGTAGAGGAGATCACTGGAGAAGATGAGTCTGGCTATCAAGGAAATGATGCTGTTAGGGTTGAACTGGGTTGAAAGAAGGCTTTCTTGATGATAATGAACTTAGAGAAGGGAGAGATGCTGGGGCCATTTTTCTGAGTCTGGGTAGTAGTCAGGGTCCTGGGAAACTGAAGAGATTATCACAGGAGTGTGGGCTGACTTACAGGAAGTTCTCAGGGGATTGTGAATCATTAGATGCCCACCACAGAAGAAGAACCCCCCCCCCCCCCCCCCCCCCGAGGAGAAAAATCAGAGGTGGTTTTATGAATCCAAAGAGAGAGCTTCCTTGATGGAAAAGGATTACCCAAATAAAGCTGAAACAGAGCTTCTGCCAACCCAGGACTCTGCGAGGGGATTGCAGGTAAATACCCCAACTTCTTCTTCCTCCTAGGCTTTTATGTCCTGCTGGTGCTTCGCACTGTCTGAACCCAAGCATAAATCAGAATACAAGGAAACCTGGTTGGTGCTGTCCACAGAGATCAGCTCCTGGGCCCCAAGCAAGAAGTTAAAGCATAGATCTGGAAAGGTGAAAGGAAAACATCTGTCATCATGGATGAGAGGAGACTGGTTCTAGTGCAGAAATGGAGGGACTGGCTTTAGATAGGAACATGGACAGTCCCTCTATAGTCCCTCTTTTATGTCATGAATCCTTTAACAGTTGAAAGCTATGAACACTTCTCAGTGTTATGTTTTTAAATGCATAAAATTCAGAGAGGTACATGGGGCACCTGGGTGGCTCAGTTGGTTGAGTGTCTGACTTCAGCTCAGGTCATGCTCTCACAGTTTGTGAGTTTGAGCCCCACAAGGGGCTTGCTGCTGTCAGCCTGTCAGTGCAGAGCCTGCTTTGGATCCTCTGTCCCTCTCTCTTTGCCCCTTCTGCACTTGCACTCTCTCAAAAATAATAAACATTAAAAAAAAGTCAGAGTACAAAGAAATCTAATTATTTTGAAACACAGTTACAAAATCATTTTTAAAATCAAATCTGTGATACCTTAATGCATGTGTTTCTATATTAATGCTATAAATAATAACTACTGGTGCATCTAATAACTATCATAATTTCAAAGTAGTGATACATATGTGTATAATATTCTGAAGTAGATGCAAAACTGTTTAGTGGTATAAAAATCCCTATGATGTCTACTTGTGACAAAAACATAGGTATTGCCACTGTGGTTTACTACCTATATTCACAATTGAAGGAAATGCTAGATTTCGGTTAAGAGTTATTAGTCATATGAGTTACAGAGTTATATGCAGGAGATGGCCTGGATTATGCAGTTATATGAGTTATATAGAGTTATATGCAGGAGATGGCCTGGATTAAATCCAAAGATCCATTAGAAGGAAAGTAGAGTGTGAAGAGAGAAGTTGACCTGTAGAGAGATATGTGGGAATCTGCAGGGCTCTCTTCTGCTTGTTTTGCATTTCTCAGTAGAGAAAGAGTCAAGTCATGAGCCAAGAAGGAGAATTGGGAAATAACTGTATGAGGTTTGAGAAGGCAGGAGAAGGCATGAAAGGGTCTTCCAGGAAAGTGGGAAAGAGAATGGACCAGACAAATAGCATGTAGATACCAGGCAGAAGCAAAGGCCCATGCAAGGTTTGTGGTGTGGACGAGTAGGAGACTGGTCAGCAAGGCTATGTTTTCCTCTAGTTGTTTTCAGTTACACAAAGTACAAAGACAGATTGAGGGAAAGCTGGAGTCACCAGAGCAGGGTTTTTGTCAAGCAAGTAAGAAAGAAGGTAGGAAAGGGAGTAGGGAGTGCATAAAGGAAGGACTGTGGTGATAATAACTCATGGAATTTAGTTTGATAATGAGGGAAGAGAGGACTTTGAGGAAATGAGAGACAGTGAAGAAATGGCAGACTCGATGAAGTGAAGGTCCCATAAGGACTCAAAGGACTAAGAGTCAGAGGATGAGAGGGGATGTAGCAGAGAGATAGGAGGTCAGAGAATGGGACTTTAAATATAAGCTTTTGTGGCAGGCAGAATAGCTCCCCCTTCCCAAGATGTTCTGTCCTAA